GCTCTCCAGCAGCTCAGCCCCAGCCTGTACTGGTGCCTGGGGTTGTTCCTCCCCAGGTGCAGGACCCTGCCCTTGCCCTTGTTGAACCTCATCAGGTTCCTCTCTGCCCAACTCTCCAGCCTGTCCAGGTCATGCTGGATGGCAGCACAGCCTGCTGGTGCACCCCCCACTCCTCCCAGATCACCGAATGCTTTGGGTTGGAATGGACCTTTGGAGGCCATCTAGCCCAACCCCCCTGCAGGGAGCAGGGACATCTTCAATCAGACCAGGTTGCTCAGAGCCCCATCCAACCTGGCCCAGAATGGTTCCATGGATGGGATGGGATCTGGACCACAGCCTCTGCCTTCTGCCACGGGGCCAGCCCAGGAGCTGAGCCCTGTCCCTGCCAGCCTGACCTTGGGGCCACCCAGCGCAGGGCCCTGCAAGGTGCAGCCCTGCTCCCTGCAGACATCTGCCCAAGGAACAGCCTGCTCCGTCCGGGAGCGGGCTCACCTCCGTTCCTGCCCTTCTAAGGGGCAGGGGTCAGAAACACGGAGCCCAGGCACGCAGGATTTTACCCTGTGGTACTGCTCCCTCTCTGCCCACCCCTCCCCAGCAGAATTGTTCATATTTTGCTTAAATGAATTTGATAATCTCAGATGATACCTGTGTGAAAAGTTTCTCCCTGAATCCATTTGCAATTAAACTGGGGCTCAAGCACACGGCACTGACCGTGCCGACACGCACAGGGGGGTGACAGAGCGGAGGGGAACCCAGCACCAGGCTTGGGATAACCCGGTACTGAGCGGCTGAGGGAGCTGGGGCTGCTCAGGCTGGAGAAGAGGAGGCTGAGGGGGGACCTCATCGCTCTCTGCAGCTCCCTGAGAGGAGGGGGCAGTGAGGGGGGGTTGGGCTCTGCTCTCCAGTAACCAGCGATGGGACGAGAGGCGATGGCCTCAAGTTGTGTCAGGGGAGGTTCAGGTTGGAGATTGGGGAAAATTTCTTCCCTGAGAGAGTGGTCAGGCCTTGGCCCAGGCTGCCCAGGGCAGTGGGGGAGTCCCCATCCCTGGAGGGGTTCAAAAACCGTGTGGATGTGGCACTTGGGGACAGGGTTTAGCAGGCGTGGGGGGGTTGGGTGGATGGTTGGACTCAATGATCTCAGAGGTCTTCTCCAACCTATGATGTATGATTCAGGTGCCTTTTACAACCAGGCTTTGGAAGAAGCTTTCACCGCCTCCTTTGAGGACTTAATAAAACCACAGAGGACCAAGAGCTGCACCAGGAAACAAGCTTCCAACCATGGTTCAGAGAGGAGGACGAAATGGATGGTGTGGCACCAGCATTTGGTTGCAGACCCAAAACGAGCAGTGCTGAGCAGCACCGGTGGCTGAGCCGGGCACAGAGTCAGAGCAGAGGGTTTATTCCCAATCTGGGCTCCCCCGTTCAAGAAAGATGAGGAGCTACTGGAGAGAGTCCAGCGGAGGGCTACGAGGATGAGGAGGGGACTGGAACATCTCCCCTACGAGGAGAGGCTGAGGGAGCTGGGCTTGTTCAGCCTGGAGAAGAGAAGGCTGAGA